AAAGCCTGTCCTGTATCTCTTTGGTGAAAGGATTATGAATTGCCCGAGTGTTCTGTATTGTGTAAATGTCCTTTTTTTTTAAAAGGGTGTGTGGGGGGAGAAAGAAACTTGGGAGGTTGCCTTCTTTTTAAATTAATGTATACACTCTGACCAGTTTCTAAAGATATGACCTCTGTGTGACCTCCTTTAACCTTCCTCTTAATTATTTGTTTGAAGGCAGAGTAGTGTTCTCCTACTGAGAATGAAGAACCATAATGCATTGCAGTTCTGTGAGTAAGAGAGAGTTGCAAGGAAGTGGAAGGGGACATAAACAAGAGGACCCCCAGATGTAAATAATAAAAAGTGGTTGGAAATGAAATAAAAACTGGGGGGGGAACAATTTAATTTACCTTATGAACTGGCTTAAGAATGAAAGTTGAAGAGGCAAAGGTCTGCAAGGCTGTAAAGTAGAGGAGAATCTGTTGTGTGTTACCAATCCCAGTACAGTATGTGCTTCCTTAGTTCTGTAAACCTTGCCATCTGCATACATCATTAAAAGCTCATTGAAAAGAAAACAGTCTTATCGGGCTTTTCTGCTAATCTCTTTTGGCATTAGGTTCAGCTGATAAAAGACATGCTGGATGCAGAAGCTCAGGTCAATTTCAGTTTGGTCAGTGTGGCAACTTATTGGAAAGGAGCTAAGGAAAATACTAGCAAAGGTTTTTGTTTTGAAGGAATATAGAAATATGCAAGTCAGAATATTTTGTTTAGCTAGATTGGCAGAAATCACTCTCTATAAAAATGAACCATAAAAGCAGACTTTATTCAACAAAAATTGCCTTTGACTAATTATAAATAACCCCCCACCCATACACACACAATTGAGGTAGAAGATGCTTGCCTTTTCCATATCATGTCCCAGCTGGCATACACAAACACATAGAAGATGTAGAGTTGTCTGGAAGTTGAGTCATGGCAACTGGACTTCACTGCTTGTCCGAGTAGCTTCTTCAGTCTTAAGTAAGCAGCAAAATGTTTTGAACCAAAAAGAAAGAAGTCCAGTTGCCATGACTCAACTTCCAGACAAGGCTACCTGATGAGTGAGAATCTTATTCGACCAAGAGGTGGAGTTGTGTGCACTGCCCTGACAGAGTTTTTCTGTTCATATTCCTTCTAGATTGAACAACAAGGCTGAAGGGGAATTCTGCTTCCATAAACTTGAATAAGGGTATAACTCTTAATTGTGATTGGAAATCTTAAGGCATACCCAGATTTAAAGCTGCTCCTGTCCTGTACTCCTTCCTGCTTGTCTATAAACAATCATAAGAAAATCCTGTCCTGACTGAGACACTTTGGCAACAACTTCCAAGGTATTCAGTCCAGACAGTAGGCTACTACATCCTTCCATTTCTATTTCAGGAAAGCAATTGCCCTCATTTTCCTTTCCATGGGTAGAGATAGACAGATTCTTTTACACACATGTGTGTATATCTACATATATAATATGTAGATATATACATACATCAAAAGTTAAATAGAATTTATATATATACAAAGATGAAATACCAAAATATACAACAACAAAAAATATTACTGCCCTTTTCCTTTCTCTTATATTTTAGGGCAACTGTATACCAACAGTGCTAAAACAGCATAATGGTTAAAATCCTTGTGTAGAAAATGTAAGTGTTTTGGTTTACAGCCAAGCAGAAATATGTGCAATTGGCATTTTTTTTCTTCCCTGAGTTTATATTGTTACCTATGCTTTTTTTAAAAAAAAAAAAAAAAGTAAGTCCAGCAGTGTATCATTTCAAAATCTTTTTAATAATTCAAGATAGAAAATTATCACCCTAAATCCCTAAAGAGCCCAAACAATCTAGGAGTCATTTGAGAGTGATGTGAAACCCTTTTACTTCAGTTAAATAGAAAATTGATGAAAACATGCCCCACTAGATATTTAAAAGAAAAAAGAGAGAAAACAAATAGGAAGCTTGGGGAACAATAACATAAAAAGGCTGGATTTCAAAACTAGCAACCTCCTCTTAGAAAACAAATATAAAAGCCATTGTACTATTACAGCAATTTTAAAGGTAGATCTGGAAGATGTTGGAGACTATAGTAAGCACTGACTAATTTGAAGAGCATCCCTGCCTCAGCGAAGTAGCTAATGAATTCCAGGTGTTAGCTTGTAAGGAATTGAAGTGCTTTATCCCAAATGGACAGGAGTACTCAAGGTGATATAGCATGAAAAAGTATACTTCAGAAGTGGAGCAGAAAAAAAGTGTCCTGAGGTCCCTTTGATGATGAGAGTGGGATTAATAGAGGGCAGCATCCCTCTAGAAATGTTTGCTGACCCATTCTGACAATAGGGCAGACATGCAGTTAGATAAATCCCCGCTTTATCAATGCTCATAATTACCAAATAGTTCTGTTTTCATTCAAGCAAGATAGAAGCCCTCTTCAAGCCTGGCTGCAGAAAGTTTGGAATTGAAGCAGACCTGCTTCACTTGGAAACCTTGAGAGTGGTGCCAATGAAGGCCCTTTAATATTGTATATGAATATATTTTGGTATATAATAAATGATTGTATTTATGGGAGAATATATTTGCATTAATATTTAATATATGCTACACATATTGCAGGAAAGTGGATTTGAAATGGTGGAAGTGTTATTTGCAGTTCATATTCAAGCAAACTGATTTGATAAATGAGTTTATCTGTATTAAATGCTGGCCTTATTTAAAGCTTGTCGAACATTTCTGTAAACTTGTGTGTGGTATGCACTACTTCTTACAGAAGTCCTATTAGACAATGGACATGTTTAGTATTCACAAGTGGGTTACACAGACCCTAAAGTTCATGCTTATTTGCATTTCTAATACTGGATGAAGCTTAAAATACTAACGCTAGTCCTTCCATTACACAGAGTGAGGTGAATGCCTCAGTCAACTGATTCGCAGTATCTTGAAGGGTAGGATTTTAGTGCCAGAGGATTCAGGGCTGTATGAAACAATCCTAAAATCTAGGGTGCAACTTTTTTTAAGATATCACATAATTAAAACTGCTAATGTAACATAGCAGGAAGGAACTATGTGGTATAATCATATTAATTACAGTACGTTTAGTGTTGTTTTTTTTAAAAATATTTTGGGGTTTAGATTCATCATCATCTTTTTACCTTGTCCAATGCTAGAGATGCTTTATTTTTTTGGTTCTTTTGAATCAGTGTTGACTAGTCCCTGAAACTTTCTTGGCAAGGTGTTTAGAAGTAGTTTATCATTATCTTTTCTTACCCTGTTTCCTGAAAATAAGCCCTCCCTGAAAATGTTGTAATACAGCAGCAGCCATGAGGTGACCAGGTTCGCTGCCTCCTGCACCTCAAAAATAATAAGACCTCCCAGAAAATAAGGCCAAGTGCTTATTTTGGGAGTCAAAAGGAAATAAGAACCTGTCCTATTTTCGGGGAAACAGGGTAGAGCTGAGAGAGAGTAGCTGGCCCAATGTTGTTCTTTTGTCTTTGCATCTAAGGTGAGACTTGAACTCAGTCTCCAAGCTTCTAGCCTGGTGTTTTCTGTACCAGGCGTACAGGTTAAAACTCTCTCACACTTTTGTATTTATAAAATGGTGATATTGGAAAATGCAGTATATTAGGCATACTGCATATCCTCCATCTTGTATGCTTTTATGGCATACAAGATGTAACTGTCAGAACAGGGCTGCAAACTCTAGAGGTGCCATCTGGTGGTCATCCTGAGTTTTGCAGTCCAGATCTGATAAGCCTATCCCACAAACCACTGAAAGAGTGCATCTTAAACCAAAAAATGTACATATGGATATGGGATGAAAAAACCAGGAAATTGTTATTTCTTTAGTTATTTAGTTTTTAACTTACTTATAGAATGTATTTTTAAAAGTGTCAAAATAAACTGGCAGTACTGGGGCCTGTGTTCCTTGTCTTGAGGAGAAAAATCTGTTGAAACATCACTATTAAAGTGCTGTAAAAGGTGAAGAAAATACACAAAACAATAGAAGATAAAATAAACGTACCTTGCAAATAATGACATTGAGTAATCTAGTCAATTAATTTTTTGAAGTGAAGAACCATTGTCTCAGGGTTAACTTGAACCAAGATTAACTGATGTGGGTTGTTGTGCATTAACTTAATGGGGAAATATGCAAGCATTTATTTTTGAATTATCCACAAAATTAAATCCAGACTTCCCTTCCTAAATAATGGGTTTGCCTGATGTTCAGATGAAGCAGTGCTGCTTTAGTTATGGTACCTGATTGGAGAAGAAGTTATTTCAGGACTAATATTAAACACATGTACCTGCAACTCCCTCTTTCTGTCAAGTTGAAAGGTGCTGGAGTTTATGGTTGGAAGGTGCCCTGTGCTCTCTGCCCTGGGTGCCCCACTCTTGCTGGAAAGGTTGCCCCCAGCTGGCACTGACCTCCAAATGACCCTTGACTTTACTGACTGAAACTGCAGGAGTGGCAGAAGAGCCGGGGGTTCTGCCTGCTCTTACTGCTGCCTGCACTGGTGATAAAACTTCAGACAGCCTAATTGATGGCTTTGCTGACCTAACAATACCTTGTGAAAGCACAGAATAGTAAAGTCTGGTCCTCATTTATGGACAGCTGCAATGGTGGCTGAATTGCTAGGGCTGAAAAATAAATAAGTCTTCTGCGGTCTTAGCCAGATTTCTGGCTGATTGAATAATTTTGCATTTAGAAATAGGGGTGGAAGTTGAATATTCTGTTGCACACTTTTTTTAAAAAAAATGCTTCAAATCTCCTGGCAAGTTATTTGAAAGTCTTTTCTCAGGTGGGATTTTATTTTATTTTATTGTTCCTCTGCACTGCTGTTCTTCAGCTTTTTAAAGCGTTCTAATCATTTTTTTTAAATAGTCAGTGAACAAATAAACTTCTATACTTTGTCTTTTGTTTCAGGTTTATTAATGCCAGAAGAAGAATAGTACAGCCTATGATTGACCAGTCAAATCGAGCAGGCAAGTTTCAAATAGTATCTGTATTCAAGTCCCACAGGCACAAATTCTCATCAAGTTATTCTTTGGGAGTCCCTTCACCTGGTAAATAAATGCTTCAATAGGCATTCTGGGAGATTTTTTTTTTCCTTGTGTCCCCAGAATTCTGCTATAGGAAGCAACTTCGCTAATTGGTGCTAATTGGAGATTTCCCACCCTGACTCTACTGAAACGGCTTTTTATTTTCTCTCTGAATCAGTAATTGGGTACAAGTACTAGTGCCACAAGCAGTTTGTTTGACTGGGAGCACTTGAATTGCTCATTGCTTTTTTTACATCCAATCAGCAGGACAATCTCATTTTCTTGCTACCCATAACTCCTCAGTGCATGCATCGCTCTCCCTGCTGTAAGGCTAGCTGTAAAACTCATTGTATCCATTCATTTGCTTTGACTATTCACAATATGCTACTAATTAATACCAGGCACGCTACAATAGTGGCAAAAATAAATTTTATTTCCTTTGGTTACCAGTGCACCATAATATTTTACCAAGAAAATTTGGGCAGCATATTCTCCCACAGCAGTGATTATATAAGTTTAAAACTATAAGGATCTCTCACTTTCTGAGAGTTGTCTACAATTAAGTTATTGGATAAAATAGTTCTCCATGTGGTAATAACCAGACTGTAACTTGATGGGATTTGCCTGCTGCTTCACTTTAAAGGTCTGGAGAGGTTATTAATCCTATGGGAAAAATCTTTATGAGTAGCACTAGCAGTTAATTTCTTTTCCATAACTAGGTGGCAGAATAAAAATCAAAGTAATTAACTCCGATTTTAAGAAAGCAGAAAGCAAGCATCTTTGGTATATTTTTGTGTGTGCAAAAGACACAGGGAATGATATAAGTATCAAACTTACAAATGTTAAAAATGTAATAACTTTAAATTACTGTGTAAACAACCACAGTGAGATACAAATCAAACTGTAAATCCCCAGCAGAAGCAATGTAATATATTGTCTTGCAATAAAGGTAAGAAAATTATTTCAAATTTCTAGATGTTGTGCTATTGTTGTTGTTGTGATCCAACACAACATGCACTCTCTTTTAATTCTAATCATACAATCAGTGCAGAATAGTGTTTTTGAACATGATAGCTAGTATGTTATATATAACTATATATATATAGTGTTTCAGTACTGAGACTGGAACAATTGCTGATTGTTTGGTATGTCTTTTCTTCTTTTTCCTCTGTGTCCACGTTTGACTACAATCAGGTTTTCTTCTTGATCCTTCAGTGAGCCAAGGAGCAGCATATAGTCCAGAAGGTCAACCCATGGGAAGCTTTGTATTGGATGGTCAGCAACATATGGGAATCCGGCCTGCAGGTAGGACCACGCTCTTTCTTGGATCTCTAAGCATCAGCATGATCTCTTCACTTCCTTTTAGGACCTTGACAACAGTAACAACATACATTATGTCTCTTCCATATGCTTTGAACTCTTCCTGCTGCTTGCCTGCCTTGTGCTTTTTTTTAAAAAAAGTTACAAAAGGAATACATTTGATAATAGGCAATTTTGTTCCATTTCTTTAACCCCATTGATTGATGATTGACTTACTTATTTACTTATCTACCAGAATTTTAAA